GTGTGATGATGATCATATCAATCTTGGAACTATTTCCAACACACATCGTCACTTCTCCCTCAACTAGTCTCTGTTTATTCCGTAACTCATGTTTTGAGTTACTAATATTTAGCAACCGAACAAGTATCAAATACTCAGGGGCTACTATAAACACTAGTAAGGTACACATCAATAACCTGTATATCAAATATACCCTTGTTCACTTTGCCATCCTTCTTATCCACCAAATATTCAGGGCATTTCCGCTTCCAGTGACCATTTCCTTTGTAGTGTAATCACTCAGTTTCAGGCTTTGGTCCAGCTTTGGGTTTCTTTGCGGGAGTGACAACTTGCTTGTCATTCTTCTTAAAGTTCCCTTTCTTTCCCTTTGCCCTTCTCTTGAAACTAGTGGTCTTGTCAATCATCAACACTTGATGCTCTTTCTTGATTTCTACCTTCGTCGATTTCAACATCACGAAGAGCTCGGGAATCGTTTTCGTCATCCCTTGCATACTATAGTTCATCACGAAGTTCTAGTAACTTAGTGATGGTGACTAGAGAATTCTGTCAATCACTATCTTATCTGGAAGATTAACTCCCACTTGATTCAAGCGATTGTAGTACCCAGACAATCTGAGCACATGCTCACTAGTTGAGCGATTCTCCTCCATCTTTTAGCTATAGAACTTGTTGGAGACTTCATATCTCTCAACTCGGGTATTTGCTTGAAATATTAACTTCAACTCCTGGAACATCTAATATGGTCCATGATGTTCAAAACGTCTTTGAAGTCCCGATTCTAAGCCGTTAAGCATGGTGCACTAAACTATCAAGTAGTCATCATATTGAGCTAGCCAAACGTTCATAACGTATGCATCTGCTCCTGCAATAGGTCTGTCACCTAGCGGTGCATTAAGGACATAATTCTTCTATGCAGCAATGAGGATAAACCTCAGATCACGGATCCAATCCGCATCATTGCTACTAACATCTTTCAACACAATTTTCTCTAGGAACATATCAAAATAAACATATGAAAGCAACAACGCAAGCTATTGATCTACAACATAATTTGCAAAATACTACCAGGACTAAGTTCATGATAAATTAAAGTTCAATTAATCATATTACTTAAGAACTCTCACTTAGAAAGACATCCCTCTAATCCTCTAAGTGATTACGTGATCCATATCAACTACACCATGTCCGATCATCACGTGAGATGGAATAGTTTCAACGGTGAACATCAATATGTTGATCATATCTACTATATGATTCACGCTCGACCTTTCGGTCTCCGTGTTCCGAGGACATATCTGTATATGCTAGGCTCGTCAAGTTTAACCTGAGTATTCCGCGTGTGCAACTGTTTTGCACCCGTTGTATTTGAACGTAGAGCCTATCACACCCGATCATCACGTGGTGTCTCAGCACGAAGAACTTTCGCAACGGTGCATACTCAGGGAGAACACTTCTTGATAATTAGTGAGAGATCATCTTAAAATGCTACCGTCAAACAAAACAGAATAAGATGTATAACAGATAAACATCATATGCAATCAAAATATGTGACATGATATGGCCATGATCATCTTGCGCCTTTGATCTCCATCTCCAAAGTACTGTCATGATCTCTATCGTTACCGGCACGACACCATGATCTTCATCATCTTGATCTATATCAATGTGTCGTCACATGGTCGTCTCGCCAACTATTGCTCTTGCAACTATTGCTATTGTATAGCGATAAAGTAAAGCAATTATTTGGTACTTGCATCTTATGCAACAAAGAGACAACCATAGGGCTTCTTCCAGTTGCCGATAACTTCAAAAAAACATGATCATCTCATACAACAACTTATATCTCATCACGTCTTGACCATATCACATCACAACATGCCCTGCAAAACCAAGTTAGACGTCCTCTACTTTGTTGTTGCAAATTTTACGTGGCTGCTACGGGCTGAGCAAGAACCGTTCTTACCTACGCATCAAAACCACAACGATAGTTTGTCAAGTTAGTGATGTTTTAACCTTCGCAAGGACCGGGCGTAGCCACACTCGACTCAGCTAAAGTGAGAGAGACAGACACCCGCCAGCCACCTTTAAGCACGAGTGCTCGCAACGGTGAAACCAGTCTCGCGTAAGCGTACGCGTAATGTCGGTCCGGGCCGCTTCATCTCACAATACCGCCGAACCAAAGTATGACATGCTGGTAAGCAGTATGACTTGTATCGCCCACAACTCACTTGTGTTCTACTCGTGCATATGACATCTACGCAAAAAACTAGGCTCTAATACCACTGTTGGGGAACGTAGTGTTGGGGAACGTAGTAATTTCAAAAAAAATCCTACGTACACGCAAGATCATGGTGATGGCATAGCAACGAGAGGGGAGAGTGTTGTCCACGTACCCTCGTAGACCGTAAGAGGAAGCGTTAGCACAACGCGGTTGATGTAGTCGTACGTCTTCACGATCCGACCGATCCAAGTACCGAACGTACGGCACCTCCGAGTTCAGCACACGTTCAGCTCGATGACGATCCCCGGGCTCCGATCCAGCAAAGCTTCGGGGATGAGTTCCATCAGCACGACGGCATGGTGACGATGATGATGCTCTACCGGCGCAGGGCTTCGCCTAAACTCCGCGACAATATGATCGAGGTGGAATATGGTGGAGGGGGGCACCGCACACGGCTAAGGAACGATCCGTAGATCAACTTGTGTGTCTATGGGGTGCCCCCGCCCCCGTATATAAAGGAGCCAGGGGGGAGGAGGCGGCCGGCCAAGGAGGGCGCGCCAAGGGGGGAGTCCTACTCCCACCGGGAGTAGGACTCCCTTCTTTCCTAGTTGGAATAGGAGAAGGGGGGAAAGAGGAGGAAGAGGGGAAGGAAAGGGGGGGAGCCGCCCCCCTTCCCTTGTCCTATTCGGACTAGGAAGGGAAGGGGCGCGCGGCCCCCTCCTGCCTCCTTCCCTCTTCTCCCTCGAGGCCCATGTAGGCCCAATAACCCCCCGGGGGGTTCCGGTAACTTCCCGGTACTCCGGTAAAATGCCGATTTCACCCGGAACGATTCCGATGTCCAAATATAGGCTTCCAATATATCGATCTTTATGTCTCGACCATTTCGAGACTCCTCGTTACGTCCGTGATCACATCCGGGACTCCGAACAAACTTCGGTACATCAAAACTTATAAACTCATAATAAAATTATCATCGTAACGTTAAGCATGCGGACCCTACGGGTTCGAGAACGATGTGGACATGACCTAGAACTATTCTCGGTCAATAACCAATAGCGGAACCTGGATGCCCATATTGGTTCCTACATATTCTACGAAGATCTTTATCGGTCAAACCGCATAACAACATACGTTGTTCCCTTTGTCATCGGTATGTTACTTGCCCGAGATTTGATCGTCGGTATCCAATACCTAGTTGAATCTCGTTACCGGCAAGTCTCTTTACTCGTTCCGTAATGCATCATCCCGTAACCAACTCATTTGGTCACATTGCTTGCAAGGCTTATAATGATGTGCATTACCGAGAGGGCCCAGAGATACCTCTCCGACAATCGGAGTGACAAAACCTAATCTCGAAATACGCCAACTCAACATGTACCTTCGGAGACACCTGTAGTACTCCTTTATAATCACCCAGTTACATTGTGACGTTTGGTATTACCCAAAGTGTTCCTCCGGTAAACGGTAGTTGCATAATTCTCATAGTTACAGGAACATGTATAAGTCATGAAGAAAGCAATAGCAATATACTAAACGATCAAGTGCTAGGCTAACGGAATGGGTCAAGTCAATCACATCATTCTCCTAATGATGTGATCCCGTTAATCAAATGACAACTCATGTCTATGGCTAGGAAACTTAACCATCTTTGATTCAACGAGCTAGTGAAGTAGAGGCATACTAGTGACACTATGTTTGTCTATGTATTCACACATGTATTATGTTTCCGGTTAATACAATTCTAGTATGAATAATAAACATTTATCATGATATAAGGAAATAAATAATAACTTTATTATTGCCTCTAGGGCATATTTCCTTCAGTCACCTGCCGCAGTGACGTCATCCACGTGGTGGGCACGCAACCATGTGACCTGCGCCACGCGGGCCCTTCGAGTGGGAGGGCACCTCGCGAGGATAATGGCCGCAGATGGTGGTGGTCCTTAGTGAAGTCCTCCTCCGTCAAGAGGGTCTTCGTGAGGCGAGCTCCTCGCGAGGCATCTTGCCCCGCGGCGCCCACTGCTGAGCCGTTTCTTGAGTTGGGCCAGGGGTTGCTTCCTGGGTCGTAGGCAGATGGCCCGTGGTACCCTGGTTCCCACTGAACCGACAATAGGGGAGAGCAACACTGTCTTCTTGCAGCGGCATGCGAGGGAGATTTTATTGCGGGGTAGACGGTTGCCATCTCCGGTGAGGTGTGGTGTGAGGTTGGGAGTGGGAGGAGGTGGAAGATGGGAGATTGGCGCACACCGCGTGAATGGATAAGAATGAGAAAAATGAGGACGGTGGGTGGGAGGACACGCGTGCATGCTATGCGGTGCGTCCAATCTCGCTTGGTCACACGGCGCCCATGGCGACTGGTGCGAGATTAGAACGGTCGGCCGTTCCAAAATGTTTCCCTTCTAACAAACGGCAAGTCTTAACTCTATATATTCCATTCTACTACCTACCATATATTGTATGTGTCAAGCGTTAAAATAAAATAACTTCAGCTGCCAGTTTTCAATAGATCAAAATTGAACGGCAAGGATGATACATTATTAAAACTTTCCTTTTTTTACTTTTGGGGTTTTAATGGCCCTATAATGCATTTCCTTGCTTGTACAAGTGTAAATCTATATTAGCTAGCCCTGTACAATCGTTCATAGCAACTTGCCCTTTGTATGAAGGTTAGACACTTTGCTTACAACCAGGAGCCCATGATTACGTTATATATACAGAGAACTATTGAACTATTTCCATCATCTCCATTAACACGCCAACATTCTCAAACATTCTCAAAATGAGAATGGTTTTCGCAGCTTCCATCGTGTACGTTTTCCTCGTATTCCACGTCGTTCTCTTAGCTACCACGGCGGTCGCCACAACCACCACGCCCTTCCCAACGTCTGGCGTCACCAACGCCACGTCGGTGGCCAACAGCAACACCGCAAACGGCGTCGAGTCCCGTGCAGCGACGGCGGCGCTCAACAGCTCGGATCAGTACTCGAATCAGTACATCTGCTACCTCTGCCGCCAGCGTAACACCCTGATGATCAAGTGGTGTCCCCTCTACAAGGACGACTGCCACCTCGCATGCCTGTCCTCCACGTCCCCTACCCGCCACCCCCAGCTGTACCCCTCCGCCGACGGCGAAGGTAGGAAGAGCACGCTGGGAACCGGCCCTGGCGGCTCGGACCCCGACGACTGCTACGTCATGAAGCTGTATCCGGATGGCAGATGGGTCATAACCGTGGCGGTCAGCTGCAAGGCGGTCGCGGGCTGCTACCTTGTGTGCAGCAATGGAGACGCGCCGCTTGGGAGCAGAGCCGACGACACCACCCCGGCCGTGGCCAGGGGGCCGCCACTGCCCCGCGCCTCCGAATTCCAGCGGTGCGGTGATCAGCTCCCGGCGGCAGGCAACCGCGTCTAGCCACGGCCATATGATTAATTCGGTTTCGATGGTTTCTATCGGCTTAAGCGAGATTTAAACCTTTCAGTTTCTCACGGGACAGACAAGAAGAATTCTTCCATCCCAATCTTAGTTAATCATGAGTCCGTGGTTTGTTTTCGATCGCCTCTCCTCGTTTCGTGGCAGAAAGCAACTCGGCGATTTGTTTTTCCGATATGGCTGTAGCACACACTGTTTAAGTCCAACAGCATCTATTGCCTTCTGAGCTAAGGTGACCATGCATGAAATCGGGCCGGTTTACTGCTTGGAATTTTCTCACGAGTCTCCTGGTCGATCGATTCAGATCCACTTGTTGTATTCCAGCCAATTTCGCCAAGCTGTAACCCGAACACCATTTTCGCGAGATGACAGTACTTATCCAAAAATGCTTTTAATCATCTGCTGTCTCTTACCGCGAGAAGCACATGCAGCCAAATTCTTGGGCTGCTGCACACTTTTTCTCTCTTTTTCTTCTTTCCCGTAGCCGTATATACACACACCAAAGCGCCGGCTCGATCACATCACTCCCAACAGCTGCAGCAACGCACGCACCATCTTTCGCTCTCGGTCTTGCACGCGATGCCTCTCTCGGCCGCATCCATCCTCCGCGCCTCCTCCCTCGCCCTCCTGCTGCTCGCGGCCACGGCCACGGGCGGCGATGGCAGCACGACGAGCGACTCGTCTGTGGCGCAGTCCATCGACGACACGGAGATGTACCTCTGCTACCTCTGCACCGGGCGCAACCCGATGCTGATCAGGTACTGCCCCATCTACTGGGACTGGTGCCACCTCGTGTGCTACGACCCCGACGTCGCCGCCGGGCCCGCTGCGTCCCTGCGGCCGGTGGCAGCGGCAGCCACGGCCCCGCGCGAGACGCACGCCCAGCTGGGGTGCTACGTCATGAAGCTCTACCGGAACGGCACCTACGTCATCGTCAGCCGCCACGACTGCTCCAAAATGGCCAGTTGCCGCCTCTCCTGCGGCGGCAGCGACGTCGTAGTCGCCGACGGGAAAGCCTTGGGCGCGGCGCCGCTGCCGGTTACAGCGTCGGCGCCCCAGGGAATGCAGCTGCCGCCGTCGTCGCGCGTCGCCGAGTTCCAGCGGTGCGGCGATCAGGCAATGGGCCTGCCTCTGAGCGCCGTCCCCGGCCGCGTCTAGCAGCTAGCGGCGCCGGTCGACTTAGGGAGGATGCGCGCGTGTCGGCGTGCAAATATGCGTGCGCCCTTGCAAGCCAAATGTTGACAGGATATCAGCGATCGGTTGTGTATAGAGTTGTTAAAATAAAAAATAAATGAAGGGCCCCTATCGTTTGAAAAAAGGTTTGCGTCGATTTGTGCAAGCCGTTGGATCAGAAAGGAACGGCCGGATGTATTTCTTCCTTGAACTGTTTTCTTCTTCCCTCGACGAACAACACAATTTCTTCTAACACCGTCTTGTCCCCGCCTCCGGCGAGCCTCCTATCCTCGCCTCCAGCGAGGTCACATCTGAACCAAAACGATACGGCCGCCACTCGCACATGTCAAAACCTCCGACTCGCCTTTGTTGGCAACACCCCTCCTCGTCACCGGTCCCGGCTCAGTCCTTGCTTGGCCTTGCACTACTGGAATTTTTCAATTAGGCACTCAGCAAAGCATTTGTCGAGTCCCACACTCGGTGAACACGACTCGGCTGGCCGGCTGTTGGCAAAACTGACTTTGTCGAGTTCTTTTTCACTGGCACTCGACAAGCACATACTATTTTTTGCCAAGTACCGTGTATAGGGAACTCGACAAAAAAATAGTGCAAACAGAACGGCGCATTAATGGTAATGCCACATGGCAACACGTCTTTGTCGAGTTCTTTTTTGAACGCACTCGGCAATGCAACAACAAACGAGGGTGTGGCACATGGTGCAACCTTTGTCGATTTCTTCCCAGGCGAAACTCGACAATACCTCGATGGACGAAGGAGTGCCACATAGCATAACCTTTATCGAGTGTTGCTTGTATGTTGCTCAGCAAACGCTTACTCCAGGAGTCATCAGCAACTGCCATGTGGCAGTCTTTATCGAGTTTCTATCTCCGCTAGCGTCGAGAGGTCTAACCCAGAGTATCTATGTTTGCTGACGACGCCGTGATCGTTCTGAAGCCCGAAGTGGAAGACCTCGCTACTTGCGCAGCTCTGTTGTGTCTTTTTGGTGAAGCATCGGGGCTCAGGGTCAATCTAAACAAGAGCGCATCCTTACCAATCCGGTGCAGTACGGAAATTATGGAGCGGGTGGTTCAAATCCTTGGATGCCCCTAGGGCACATATCCTTGCAAATACTTGGGGCTCCCGCTCACCTTGCGGAAGCACACAGTCGCGCAGCTTATGGGAATGGTGGATCAGCTTGCACTGTGCCTCCCTCGGTGGATGGCCGCAAACATGTCGAAGAGTGGAAGAATGACTCTTGTTCAATCCGTACTCTGCGCAATCCCTATCCATGTGAAGATGGCATTAGACATCCCACAGAAGATTATCAAGGACATGAACAAAATCTGCAGAGGGTTCTTGTGTTGTGCCAAAGAGCAGGCGTCGAGTGGTCAGTGCAGAGTGGCGTCGGAGACCGTGTGCTCGCCAAGGTGGGCGGGTGGACTTGGCATCCCTAACCTTGGCTTAATATTGCCATGCAAGCAAGAAGGCCCTGGCTGAAACGAGTGGATCCATCGAGACCGCGGGCGGAGTTTGATATTACGGTTCCTAAAAGGTCAATGCAAATCTTCCAGGCTGCCACCCACGCAACATTGGGGAATGGAGAAAGGACGTTGTTCTGGGAGGATAGATGGGTGGGTAGCTATAGAGTGGAGGAGTTGGCACCAACAATCTATGGCATGGTGCGGGCGAGGATATGATGCACCCGCAAGTTAGCCAAGGATTGATGAACGGGGCCTGGGCATTGGACATAGGCCCGGAGGTTACGAGCCAGATGCTCCAGGAGTACCTGCGATTGTGGGAGCGAATGGTGCTGCTCCAATTGCACCAAGACACGGCCGACTAAGTTCGGTGGGCTTGGGAGCCAAGCGGGACCTTCTACACGCGATCGGCATACCAAACAAAATTCTGGGCAAAGGAAGTAGTTCCAACGGCGCAGTTCACGTGGAAGTCCAAAGCTCCTTTGAGATGTCGATTCTTTACTTGGCTCGCACTTCGGAATAGATGTTGGACCTCAGATAGGCTGGCGAGCCGAGGATTAGACCATCAGGATGCATGCCCTTTCTGTGACCAGGTGGAAGAAAGTATCAATCACATAATGCTACATTGTGCCTTCGGGAGGGAAGTGTGGTTGCGTGTCTGCACAGCTTGGGGCAAGCCAGAATGGGCTCCGACACCAACATCACTACTAAGAGAGTGGTGCATGACCACCGCAGAATGTTCCTCGGGGGAAAAGGATGCACGGGCACTATTCATACATGTAATGTGGGAGCTATGGAAGCATCGGAACAGCATTGTGTTTGAGGGCGATGTTCCGTCAAGCGCGTATGTAATTCAAAACTATCGGTAGAGTGTAGGGCGTGGAAGGTGGCGGGCTTACTTAAAGCAGACGTGGACCGGTTCCTAGAGGCCATGGAGGTGGGTAATGCGGCGAGTAGTTAGCGTGCGAGTAGCTGGGTGGAGTTGGGGTTATGTAACTTTTGTAACGCCAGCGTGGAGGGGCTTCTTTCCCCCATCCTCCTCTTTAATATAAAGTACACACACTCATGTGTATTCGAGAAAAAAATCGAGTTTCTATCTAATGGAACTCAACAAATTTTTCCAGCAGTTAGCATATGTCAAGTGGCATCCTTTGCAGAGTGTCGCTCTGGAGGAACTCAAAAAATCTTGCCAAGAGTTACCAGCGTGGGCCAAATTCATTGCTTTGACCCTTATGTAAAAGTTTAACACGATTTGACCCTACTTGTAAAAAAAATTGGATCTGATCCTTTTCCTACCGCCATGGTCAACGGTGGTAGGCTCCTGGTCAACGTGAAGATGTGGCAACCCGAACGCTATAAATAAAGCGCGTTGCTCTATTGAAATGAAGGAACTGGGTGGCTGAGTGGCTAGCAGAAGTAAGGCATTAGCAGTCGGGAAATACACTTGTGTTCCTGGGTGTATACGTACCCTATGTGGGGATTCATTTTAATTTTTTTTATAAAAAGTCAAAATAGTTAAGAACTTTTTTGACAAAAAACTTGACCAACTTTTGCACTAGTGTATAAATTTTTGCGAAAAAAATTGACTTCACAGCAAAAAGACAAATTTTATTTGCTATTATAGATCACTATTCACATTATTTTAGCCTAAAATTTGTCTTTTTTGAAAAGAAGTCAAAGAGAGATTTTCTTTTTGTGAATTTTTTCTCATGAGTACAACTAAAGGTCAAGTTTATTTCAAAAATATTTTCAGGAATTTTTTATTTTTTGTTGAATTACTAAAAAAATCCATATAGGGTGCATATGTCCCCATAGACCGCAAATCCTCTCCCATTAGCAGTCAGCCTTGGTTCGAATCCTACTAGAAGCAACTTTTTTGGTGTTTTTTTTCAATAACAATTGAAAGTGCATTATCTCGACTAGAGGGGTGAATAGGCAATTTTTACAAATTCGTCACTAAGGAATTTCTAAGTGAAGAAATTCCTGAGTAACGATACACTAGCAGCGGAATAAGTACTCAGGTATAAGCATAACAGAGCAGTAGCATAGTCATCATGATGAACTGAAAACAAACACAGAGTACGGAAAGCGTGATAACAGGATAAGTAGGCTGAAGATTATGTGACTGAAGAGATAGGATTGAGGAAATAGAGAAAGTCTTCAGTCAAAGTCTTCAAACAGTAATGATCAGGTTCATCAACATATGAATGAGGAAATTAAAGGGTTGAGGAAATAGAACCAATTGACTTGGTGAAGACAATGATTTGGTAGACTAGTTCCAACTGTTGTGACAGTTGTACGTCTGGTTGGAGCGGCTGAGTATTTAAACTC